GTCACTGCTTCCGGGCCAGGACAGCTCGCAGTCACCAACTTCTCTGGCGACACTTGCTCATTCAGAACTCTAAACTTTGGGTCAGGAATGTGACCTTGCTTGCTGTTCTATCCTGAGTAGAACATCATCACCATCATCTTGCAGACAGACATCATGTAAGTGACCCGCTTATAAACACCTCCTGCCTCTCTTAAACATTGTAATTAACTGCATTTCATGCGCCTTTCAGTCACAGTATGGAAGACCACTGAGCACCGCACAGCAAGACTTGGTTCAGTCTAAGAACCACGTAAAGTTTCACAGATGGGGGAATCTACCCCAGTGGTCTCGCCTTACACTTTGAAAACCAAGGTAGGATAGAGATGAGAAGGAAGGTAGGGCGGTTTCCAGAGGAACAAGAGTAGTCGCTAAGATGGTAACTAGCATGAACAAGTCCTACCTGACCTGGGCGACGTATGCTGGGCCCTGCGCTAGGCTTTTTAGAGGTTTTACACTACTGAATCTAAATGACCATACTAAGGAGGACTTCAGAGAAAGGAAATAACCCGCACCAGGGTTGCACAGCAAGTCAGCAGCGGGGTCGTAATTAAGCCTGCGCCAAAGTGTAGAGAACGCCCCTGGGAACCCAGGCCCAGCAGATGAGTGATCCAGATTGGGATGGAGACTGACAAGAAAGCCGCAGCTGGGACCCACGGCGAGGCCCGAACGTGCTGGGGGGTCGGGCTCGCGCGTGCACACTTACCGGGGTGCAGGTGAGCGCGCAATGCGCGTGCACGGACCAATGCCCGGAGAGGACAGTGAGCGCGTGCGCGAGGCAGACGGTGGCAAGCACAAGCAGCGCGGCCTCGGGGATCTGCACCCAACTGCTGCCCCAGCCCCAGCAGCCAGTGGCTGCGGCGCCCAGCCAGGCCGGGTAGAGCAGCCCGGCGAATGGCAGCACCGTGAGGCGCCGCAGCAGCGCCAACCGCCGGTACGGCCATACAGCAGCGACCAGCTCGTCACCGCTCGCTATGAGCGCCGGCCCGGCGGCAAGGAGCGCGCGCGGCTGGGGCCCGGGATTGGGCTGCCCGCCAGGCCGGGCCCCGCAGGGCCGGGCCCCGCAAGGCACCGCGTTGCCAACCGCCGCCGCTGCCGCCATCTTTCCCAGCGCCGCGCTCACTTCCGGGCAGAGGCACGCCTCACTTCTGAAGCTTTACTTCCGGTAAGCCCAGGGCGCCGCCATGGCAACCTGGACTAGGAAGAGCCAGGGCAACAGAGCAGGCTGGGCCTGACAGGGACGACCGCGGGTGCCGCCATGACAGACTGTGGCCGGAAAAAGAGGCAGGGCGCCGCCATGACAAAGAGGGACTGAAAGACCTAACAGTGCCTGCCTCCACTGCCACGCCGGACTGAGACCGGAAAAGACGAGGCCAGGGCGGGCTGGGCGCCACCATGAGAACCTGAATCGAAAGAAACGAGCCCTCCTCCTTGGATACACTGGTCTCACCTGCCACGAGAGGCGGAGCCTGGACTCTGCAGAGGCGGGGTCAGGGGAGCGCCGGAGTTCAGGAGGCGGGGCCTGCTGCGAGGGCGGAGCTTGTGAGGGTCGGGGTCGGGGACCGGCCCGCAACACGGTCACAAGGGACAAGAGCCTTAATGTAATAGATAAGAATTACAAAAACTTACCACTTCAATATAAAAAATGAAAAATTGCTGTTTACTTGAAATTATATAGTTCTATATTATTAACTGTACTGTTGCATAAATGCTGTTTGAACAAAACCACAATAGGATTACTTAAGAGTAACAATTAGTAGGACTAAACAATTAGTATGTGTGAGAAACAGTAACAATATTTTATAATATTTCTATTTGTCCTCTGATAAAGTGAATTTAGTCCAACTTAAAAAAAATATTTATTGTGGCCGGGCGCGGTGGCTCATGCCTGTAATCCCAGCACTTTAGGAGGCCGAGGCAAAACTCCATCTCAAAAAAATATATATTTATTGGATATTTAAATTTAGTAGATTATATTGTTGCATATTCTTTTAATTTTTTTTTTTTTTTTTTGAGACGTAGTTTCACTCTTGTTACCCAGACTGGAGTGCAATGGAACGAGGCTCACCGCAACCTCCGCCTCCTGGGTTCAAGCAATTCTCCTGTCTCAGCCTCCCGAGTAGCTGGGACTACAGGCACGCACCACCATGCCCAGCTAATTTTTGTATTTTTAGTAGAGACGGGGTTTCACCTTGTTGACCAGGATAGTCTTGATCTCTTGACCTGTGATCCACCCGCCTCGGCCTCCCAAAGTGCTGGGATTACAGGCTTGAGCCACCGCGCCCGGCCTCTTTTAATTTTTTTGAGATGGAGTATCATTCTGTCACCCAGGCCGGAGTGTAGTGGCGCAATCTCGGCTCACTGCAACCTCCGCCTCCTGGGTTCAACTGATGCTCCCATTTCAGCCTCCGGAGTAACTGGGATTACAGGCCCCCGCCACCACACCCAGCTAATTTTTTGTATGTTTAGTAGAGATGGGGTTACACCATGTTGGCCAGTCTGGTCTCAACTCCTGACCTCGTGATCCGCCTGCCTCCGCCTCCCAAAGTGCTGGGATTATAGATGTGAGCTGCAGCGTCCCGCCCATATTCTTTTGTTTTGAAGGAGCCTCACTCTGCCCCAGGCTGGAGTGCAGTGACATGATCTCGGCTCACTTGCAAACTGTTCCTCCCAAGTTCAAGCGATTGTCCTGCCTCACTCTCCCAAGTAGCTGGGATTGCAGGCATGAGCCACCATGCTGGCTAATTTTTGTATTTTTAGGAGAGATGGGGTTTCACCATGTTGGCCAGTCTGGTCTGAACTCCTGGCCTCAAGAGATCCGCCTTCCTTGGCTTCCCAAGGGGATTACAGGCGTGAGCTGCTGTGCCCAGCCACTGCATATATATTTTTAATTATTTATTTATTTATTTTTTTGAGATGAAGTCTTGCTCTGTCGCCCAGGCTGAAGTGCAATGGCATGATCTCAGCTCACTGCAACTTCTGCCTCCTGGATTAAAGCAATTCTTCTGCCTCAGCTTCCTGAGTAGCTAGGATTACAGGCATGCACCACCATGACTGGCTAATTTTTGTATTTTCAGTAGAGACGGAGTTTCACCAAGTTGGCCATGTTGGTCTCGAACTCCTAACCTTGTGATCTGCCTGCCTTGGCCTCCCAAAGTGCTAGGATTACAGGTGTGAGCCACCAGGCCCAGTTGCCTATTCTTAAGATACGTGAATATTCTTGGTAAAAGGAGAAAGAAAATGTAATAGGACTTAATAATCAGATCACAATATTTACTAAGATAATCTTCAGTAAAAATAGGAATGACATGTTTCCTTCTGTCCCATTAAATAGTGCGGTATACTTACTTTTTCAGTTTTTTCTCCAATATTCTTTCCCATCCAAGGTCCAAGAATCTGCTCATGGAGTCTGGGACTGGACCCCTTTCTGGTAACAATACCTTTATAAAATATTTATTCCAGTTTTTCCCTGCATTTAATAATTTCGTTCCCTTTCAGGTGTGACATGGTAAAAGCCCCATAAAACCGCATACCTCAACCGTACCTCGGCTTTCTATTGAAACTGCTCTCTGTAACCCAAATGTGACAGGCAAGCAGTCCAAACTCATGCCATCTTGGCGCCTGCGACTTGTAATAAGTAATTAAGGACTGTAATTTCCACCCTACCCAGACAATGTGTAAACTAACGCTCATCTTGACTTCCGTAAACCACTTAAGTAACAATCAGATTGACAAAAGTCCCCTGGCCCTTGGAATGTCCGGAGTCCCCCACCCTCATCTCTGCCCCGGAGGTGATTTACAGAATCCACTAGCCCTTGGACTGTCTGAAACCCCTCATCTTCATTCCCGTTTTTCACCCTTACCCCCGAGGTGGTTTTAGGGGTATAAGAGGTCTTGACACCCTCCTTTTGGGGCCACGGGTTGGAGACGCGAGTCCTCCCTGGCCGACAGCAATAAAGACCCTGCAATTTGGCATACTTTCGTCTTGGTGTTGACTTTCTATGCTCGGGCCAGTACAACACAGGCAAGTTTTTATTTTCTTGGCTGAAAACGAGTAGCCTGAGAAGTAAGCAGTAGGAATCCTTGGCCATGAGACCAACAGCCTCATCCCAAATTCCTGCTTTGTGGAGGACATCAGGCCCTCCTTGTTCCAGTGTGACTTGGGAGTCTCCCCAGCTCCAACGCAAGGGAATGGCTTTATTGAACACGGAGTCTAGAATTTTTTTTTTTTTTTTAAGAGAGGGTTTTGCCATGTTGCCCAGGCTGCTCTCGAACTCCTGAGATTGCCCAGGCAATCCACCCACCTCGGCCTCCCAAAGTGCTAGGTGTCCGATAAGTCCGACCACCCCTTACTGCTCGTGTTCCCCCTGGGACGGCCGAATGAGTAGACCAGGCGAATTAGGCGTTCAGGCTTTATTGGGAGGGCTCCCGGCGGACCGAACACGGGGTAGAGAGTAGATCGGCCGCGCGCGGACAATTGGAGACAGGCTTTTTATACTGTGGTAGAAGATGCTGCAGTAATTTTCCACTGCCGTTGAGCAAGAGAGGGGACGTACTCTTTCTCAGGCGGAGTTTCTTGCGGCTTATCGGCTATCTCCTAACAAAGGAGGGTTTCGAGGCCTGCCGCGATAAGGGAAGGAGGGGGATGGGGTCTTGCAACCAGCTCATATGGGAACCTAGCTAAACATTAATGGTAGTACTTTTCCACTGTCGTTGGGGTTTTTCCAGTTGACTGTGGTAGGGGGAAGGGAAGGCCGGTCCTAACACTAGGATTACAGGCGTGAGCCACTGCGCCCGGCTCGGAGTCTGGAATTTCATGCACACTCCTGTGACCAGTGTTCTGGAAAAAGAGCAGAGAGGACCCACGGAGTACAGGAAGCTGACAGTGCCTACTCTGGAAAGCCAAGAGCAAGTTCTGCTTCCACGCAAGTCCAAGGTCCCAGAGATAAGCCCGGTTACGAGAGGCTGCCGGTAGCACCTGTCACTCAAACCCCACACTGCCAGGATTCGGATCACTTCTGTTGCTCAAGCCCCGGGGAGGGAGGGGCTCTGGGACATCATCCAATCAGAGGCAATGTGGTGCAAACTGTCCAATCAGGTGCGCGGAGAGGAGGGGCAATTTCCGAATCCCGAAGCGGTCTCTTCTCGCGGGGATCAGCTTGGTTCCGGGTTTTAGTTGGTCCCGGAGGCCTCAGGTTCTTGGATACTGCAGCTTCTGTCGCGTGGAACCGACTCTGGCTGCTGGAGCCCCAGGGAGGACCCAGGACATCCGGAAGCCAGAAATGGTGAGCGTGCGGAGCCCGGGCGTCCGGAGACCTGAGGAGGGGCTGGTCGGAACCGGCTGTGATGGGTCCCGCATCCCCCTGGCGCAGCTCGGCCCTTGGTCCCCTCGACCTCAGGATTGGGCTGGGACCGGCAGCCGGGACCCCGAGCGTCCTGACCCGTCCCTGCCCGCGACTGCAGCCCCGGCTCCGGCGCCCTCTCATAACAGCTGCGCGTCCGTAGCCCCGCGTCTCCCCAGGTTGTGCGGGGGACAAGGGAGAGTCATGGGGGCATCCCGCCTCGGGTATGGGATGCGGGCGGGAGGAGCCATGGCCTGTGGGGTCCCCAGTTCATTTTTTCTCCTTTAGGCTGCCCCCGTTTCCCTTTGAGTAAAGGTGTGGGAAGACCCGACTGGGTCTCGAACTTGCGACCCCATCCCCCAGCCTTGCTCCTCCTAGGGCTGCAGTAAATCCCTGAATTTCCAGTTCTCTCCCCGCATTCGCCAACCCCAGCCTCCCCTCTCTACTTCACATGATTATTGTTATTATTATTATTATTATTGAGGCAGAGTATCGCTCTGTCCCCCAGGCTGGAGTGCAGTGGCGTGATCTCCTCTCACTGCAACCTCGGCGTCCCGGGTTCTAGTGATTTTCCTGCCTCAGCCCCCTAAGTAGCTGGGATTACAGGCGTGCGCCACCACACCCGGCTAATTTTTGTATTTTTAGTAGAGCTGGGGTTTTACCATGTGTCGGGGTCCGGCACGTCTGCCGGGGGACTACCGACCTGCGGGAGTCCCCGAGACCGCCAACGTAGATGTCTCGTTCAACCTGAGAGAGAGAGAGTGCGCGGAAAAGAAAGAATACAGAAAAGTAGAGTCTGGAGGGCTGCGTGAAGATTATGGCCAAAACGCAGCAAATTTATTTTTGTGGGTTACAGCTTTTATACCTTTTTTCTTGTTTACATTTACCTTATCTCAGCAGAAAGAAAGAAAGAAAGGGGTAGACAGAAAGGAAACAGAAACTCCATAAAAAATAGTTATCAGGGGCTTGTGATATCCGCTCAGAAAGCAGTTTAAGGGGGCTAGTGATAGTAGTTTACATTTCAAAGATTTTACATTTCAAAGATACAATGGCGCCCTTAAGGTGGCTGGTTAAACCTGTTTTTCACCAGGAGCTAAAACAAAGGTTTGGCTCCAGGGAAAATATGGGCAGAGGTCTCTGCCCCTCTTAGGCATCTCAATTGCAGCAAGTTTATTGCTTACACAGAGACTGAAGGGGGACATGGAAGCAGACAGCACAATGTCCTCATAAACTGCAGGCCTTTGCTTTGCCTTCTATTGTTGCTTTTAGTGAGTCAGCTCATGGCCCTGTCTCACTCGACAGCCCTCGAGGTGGGGAAATGCAGACAGGTCCAGCAGCCAAACTGGGGCGAGTCAACTAGCTGTCTCGAGCCCTTGGCGTGAACACCACAACCATGCTGGCCTGGCTGGCCTCAAACTCCTGACCTCAGGTGATTACAGGTGGGAGCTACCACGCCCGGCCATTTCACATTAACTGTTCCCCATGCTACATTTCAAACAGACACAGTGTTTTAATTGTCACCTTTTCCACCTAGCCCTAGATTGCAATTTCGTGAAAGGCTTGTTTTCTGTTTGTGAACATTTCACATGTGAAACTGGATGTTGGGTTGTCAGCCCACCCTCCTATTTTTCTGTTCCTGGGTTTCGAAACTGTCCAGGGATTTCTCCCAGCTGCCTTTGGAAGAATGGGTGAAAAGTCTTTTCTGGCCTGGTTAATCTTTCCTGGTCATTTGATGAGCTTCCTAGGGAGGGGTTCTTGTCTGAAAGAAGGAAGACGTTTTCTTAGTTCTTTAGGAAATTCTACAGGGAATCCCTGCTGGCGATGGGGTGGGGAAAAAACAATGGAAAGAAACTTCTTCCTTCTGAAGCAGCTTCATTTTCACTCCTGTTAGAGTGCAGTGACCACTGATGACTCACTGTAGTCTCAACCCTTGGGACCCAAGTGATCCTCCCGCCTCAGCCTCCCAAGAAGCAGGGACCACAGGCGCATGCTACTGTAAGGGTTATTGCCGAGTTTAAAATGAGAAAACTGAGGCCGGTATAAGAAAATTAAATGCCAATTTATTCAGCTCTCAGGCGAGGTTCTATGGTCTGGGGAAAGGGGGCCAGAGAAGTCGCGCTGACTTCCTGGGGCATGGGGTTTTTATGGCTGTGAGGATCGAGCAACAGCTGGGTGCTCTGATTGGCTCCAGGGGAGCGGGATTGGGATGGGGCGGGCCGCTATTGGTTGGCGGGTTGTTGGGTGGCTTTTCCCGTGCGAGAGCCGTCCAGGGTTGCATCAGCCGGAGCCTTCCAGGGGAGCCATGCGGCAGAGCTAGGTACTGGGTGCAGAGTCAGGTGCTGAGTGCAGAGGTAGGTGTGTCCAGCCTCCCAGCAAGGCAGCCGGCCTTACAGCTACCACACCCTATTCATATATATATATATATATATTTGAGATGGAATCTTGCTCTCTCAGCCAGGCTAGAGTGCATTGGTGCTATCTTGCCTCCCGGGTTCAAGCGATTCTCCTGTTTCAGCCTGCTGAGTAGTTTCATCTACAGGTGTGTGCCACCACACCCGGCTAATTTTTTGTATTTTTAGTAGAAATGAGGTTTCACTGTATTGCGCAAGCTGGTCTAGAACTTGTGACCTTGTGATCTACCCACCTTGGCCTCCCAAAGTGCTGGGATTCCAGGCGTGAGCCACCATGCCCAGCTGAGGTCAATTCTCTGTTAGCAAAGAGCAGCCTGAGAGAGATCAGGATGCAAACACAGGTAAGGAAGGCAAGCTCTAACACAGAAAGAAGCCTCCTTGTAACATGCAGATGCACAGTGTGCCCCAGGAGGCACAGTCTCCTCCCTTCTTGGAAATACTCAAAAGAGGCTTATGTAGGGAGAGAGCCTGCAGCAGCACGGATAAGAAGAGCTGCCCTAGCTGGGTGTGGTGGCTCATGACTGTAATCCCAGCACTTTGGGAGGTTGAGGTGGGCAGATCACCTGAGGTCAGGAGTTCGAGACCAACATGGCGAAAACCCTGTCACTACTTAAAATACAAAAAGTAGCCAGGCACGGTGGTGGGCATCTGTAATCCCACCTACTCAGGAGGCTAAGGCAGGAGAATCGATCGCTCGAACTAGGGAGGCAGAGGTTGCAGTGAGCTGAGATCTCGCCATGGCACTCCAGCTTATGACAGAGTGAGACTCTGTCTCAAAAAAAAAAAAAAGAGCTACCCTGAGCCAGGCACATCCACCTTGGACTGTTCTGCCAGCGCCCCCCAGCTGCTGCTCCCAGCCCTCCGCCATTTTTATATATGCACGGTAGGAAGAGATACACAACAGGAAGTAATTTAGGATGAGAACCCCGCCTGTGGGCACTAGAAAGGGTGGGGTGAGGACTCAGAAATTCACGTCTTATGGAAAAGAAGCACCCCTCCTCTCCGACTTGTCTATAAAAACTCTCGTATTTCACTGTAAAACCTCAACCCATCTTTCTGTGACCCCTGTCTGCCCCAGAGAGCTTTCTTCCTTTTGCTTATTAAACTTCTGCTCTAACCTCACCTTTGGTATGTCTGCTGTAAAGTTGACTGAAAGAAGGGAGAGGCAGCCCCAGGGTCAGGTTTAGCAAATGTATTCAGTCTGCTGGGCTGCCTCACCACAGGCAGTGAAGGCAGCAGCCCAGCTCTCACACTATGGGAGTTACATAGGGGGTTTGCAGGTCTAGTCTAAGAAAAACTGAATCTTGGTTTTCAGGGGCCGACATCCTGTTTAACTGGGTCAGCATTCTGGGTCTGAGAACCAAGTGTGACCGCATCCTGGAACCTGGGTACCCTGTTCACAAGGCCTGAGGTTGTTTCTGTTATAAGCTTTGGCTTAGCAGGAGGGAACAGGGGTGGGGTGGGGGACATCTGTGGGCCCGTTTTGTTGTGACCCTAACATCCATGTCCTTGATTTCCTTGGCCATTGAGACCCAGAACTTCAGGTGACATCTCAGCAAGGCAGTGGCAGAAGGAAAGCATGCCAACCCCCCTACTCCTGGGAAGTGAATTCTCACCATGGCTTCCTCCCTGTCCTCAGTAAAATACCCATGCAGGGTGCTCTCTTTGCTCTCTCAACCCATGTCAGATTATCTTAGAGGCCAGCCCTGTGCTCCTCACGGATGTCCATTATGTGTATAATAGTTTTTGTTCTCTCTTTGAAAAAAAATTTGGCCCGGTGCAGTGGCTCATGCCTGTAATCCCAGCACTTTGAGAGGCCGAGGTGGGCGGATCACCTGCGATCAGAAGTTTGAGACCAACCTGTCCAACATGGAGAAACTCTGTCTCTACTAAAAATACAAAATTAGCTGGGTGTGGTGGCGCGTGCCTGTAATCCCAGCTACTCAGGAGGCTGAGGCAAGAGAATCGCTTGAACCCAGGAGGCGAAGGTTGCAGTGAGCCAAGATAGTGCCACTGCACTCCTCCCTGGGCAGTAAGAGCAAAACTCAGACTCAAAAAAATTTAATTGATTAATTATTTGGAGATGGACTTTCACTGTGGTGCCCTGGGTGGTCTACCTCTGGCCTTAACCAATCTTACCATGTTAGCCTCCCAGTAGCTGGGATTAACGGTGTGAGGTCCAGTGGCAAATCTTTCTTGCAACCACATATCCACCGTGACTGAAACAGCTGGGGCTGTAAGCAGGGTGTGCAGGCATTGCCCACCATCAGTGGATCTGTCTTCATTTGCCCCGACTGGCTGACCGGCTTTGCATCCTGATGTCTGGCATGCACTTCTACCTGCTGCTTGTGCAGGAGTTTGAGCTTTGCTTAAGCTGTGTTGCTCTGGTTGGTTGGTTGGTTTTGAGACAGAATCTTGCTTTTGTCACCCAGGCTAGAGTGCAGTGGCATGATCTCGGCTCACCACAACCTCCATCTCCCAGATTCAAGTGATTCTCCTGTCTCACTCTCCTGAGTAGCTGGGATTAAATGTGCCCACCACTACACCTGGCTAATTTTAGTATTTTTCTTACAGATGGGGTTTCCCCAGGTTGGCCAGGCTGGTCTCGAACTCCTGAATTTAAGGGATCCCCCTGCCTCTGCCTCCCAAAGTGCCGGGATTATGGGTGTGAGCCACTGCACCCAGCCATGTTGCTCTGTTTTGTTTTGTGTTTTCCTTGCAAATCTGTAACTAAAACCTTAGTTTGGGCTGGGCATGGTGTCTCACGCCTGTAATCCCAGCACTTTGGGAAGCCAAGGTGGGCAGATCACCTGAGGTCTGAGTTTGAGACCAGCCTGGCCAACATGGAGAAACACTGTCTCTACTAAAAATACAAAATTAGCCAGGCGTACTGTTGTAACAGGAGCAGCCACGGGAAACGGATCTCTCGGACACCAAATACAGGAGGAAGGAGTTTATTCGGCCAGGAGCAAGGTGGCATAGTTACCAACAGCCAAGCTTGCCTAACAAAGGAAGGTTCCATCTTTATATAGGCTTATACTTTAGATGTTACACGTGGAAGAATCGTAGGTTTATAGCTTAACATATAAAAAGGGTCTCGGTTTACAGTCTCTCGAGAATTACATATGAAAAGGATCTCAGTTTGCAGTCTCAGGAATTACATATGAAAAGGGCTTCGGTTTACAGTCTTAGGAATGAAAAAGGGAAGTTGATCTGAGATGCCTGGGTCTCCCTCTTCATCGGCAGGTGCCTATAATCCCAGCTACTTGGGAGGCTGAGGCAGGAGAATTGCTTGAACCTGGAAGGCAGAGGTTGCGGTGAGCTGAGATCGTGCCATTGAACTCCAGCCTGGGGAACAAGAGCAAGACTCTGTCTAAAAACAAAACAAAACACCTCAGATCGTGGCCAGGTGTGGTGGTGGTTCACGTCTATAATCCCAGCACTTTGGGAGGCTGCTGCAGGAGGATTGCTTGAGCTAAAAAATTTGAGACCAGCCTAGGTAACATAGGGAGATCCTGTCTCTACAAAGAATTTTAAAAATTAGCCAGGTGGGCTGGGCATGGTGGCTCAAGCCTGTAATCCCAGCACTTTGGAAGGCCGAGGCGGGTGGATCACGAGGTCAAGAGATCGAGACCATCCTGGTCAACATGGTGAAACCCCGTCTCTACTCAAAATACAAAAAATTAGCTGGGCATGGTGGCATGTGCCTGTAATCCTGGCTACTCAGGAGGCTGAGGCAGGAGAATTGCCTGAACCCAGGAGGTGGAGGTTGCGGTGAGCCGAGATCGCCCCATTGCACTCCAGCCTGGGTAACAAGAGCAAAACTCCATCTCAAAAAAAAAAAAAAAAATTAGCCAGGTGTGGTGTTACCACCTGTAGTCCCAGCTACTTAGGAGGCTGAGATGGGAGGATGGCTTGAGTTCTGGAGATAAAGGCTACAGTGAGCTGTGATTGCACCACTACATTCCAGCCTGGGTGACAGAGCGAAAAGCCATCTAAATAAACAGAAAATGTGATTGGGCATGGTGGCTTATGCATGTAATCCCAGCACTTTGGGAGGCCGTGGTGGGTAGATCACCTCAGGTCAGGAGTTCGAAACCAGCCTGCCCAATATGGTGAAACCCCATTTTACAAAAAAATTAAAAAATTAGCCAGGTGTGGTGGTATGTACCTTTAGTCCCAGATGCTTGGGAGGATGAGATAGGAGAATTACTTGAACCTGGGAGGCCGAGGTTGCAGTGAGCCAAGATCACACTACTGCACTCCAGCCTGGGTGACACAGCGAGACTCCATCTCAAAAAGAAAAGGAAAGAAAAAGAAAACTCATTATAAAGTATATTCACAGAAGAATGAAGAAAATATTTGTCATAAGTTGTAGTACTAATGACTGCATCTTTGGAATCATCATTGAGGTGGCTGACCGGGTCCTGGGCTTCACGTTAAGTTCCTGATGGTCCCCTCCCAGACTCATCTCTGTCTTTCCTCTTTGGTGACGACTGCCCTGATTCTTTGGCTATTTTTCATGTTTCTACTATTTGTTTTTTGTTTTTGAGATGGAGTCTCACTCTTGCCTAGGCTGAAGTTCAGTGATGCAATCTCAGCTCACTGTAACCTCTACCTCCTGAATTCAACCGATTCTCCTGCCTCAGCCTCCCGAGTAGCTGGGATTACAGGCACCCTCCAGCGTACCTGGCACATTTTTTTTTTATTTTGGTATTTTTAGTAGAGATGGGTTTTACCGTATTACCCAGCCAGGCTGGTCTTGAACTCCTGACCTCAAGTGATCCACCCCTCCCCCTTGATTTCCCAAAGTGCTGGGATTACAGATATGAGTCACCACACCTGGTCCCATGTGTTATTTTTCATGACCCATTGTTTTTTAGCTTTGCCTTCTTTGAACTTTGATAAATGAGTACTGATGGAGTTAAAATTCGAGGGTGTTCTGGTGGTTTCTTTGCCTAGGCACATTTCACACGTGCTCATGTCTCCGGCTGTGGGCTGTCCAGTTCACTCATTCATTCTGGTGGCTCTAGTTTCCGGGTTTTTTTCAAGTTTCATTTTGCTTGGGAAAAATACTGCTATCATCATCTGATAGCAGTCGCCAAGTGCAAATGCATCCTGAAGACTCTGGACATGAGACAGAACACTGGGATTTAGATTATGGTGAAGTGCAAGGGCATAGCAGTTGAGCGTATCCTAGAATCCTTCATCTCTGCATAACTTTGTTTGCTGTGATCACCATTACCTGGGACTCTCAGTAGAGTAATTTTTGCCCCTGTCAACATGAAATCATCTATTTGACATTTTTTTGTGGCTAATTTCTCACTGGCAAAAGAATGGACCTTGTGGCCTGGGTACAGTGGCTCACACCTGTCACCCCAGCACTTTGGGAGGCTGAGGCAGGTGAATCACCTGAGGTTAGAAGTTTAAGACTGGACTGGCCAACTTGGTGAAACCCCGCCTCTACTAAAAATAAACAATTAGCTGGGTGTGGTGGCATGCTTCTGTAATCCCAGCTACTCGGGAGGCTGAGGCAGGGGAATCACTTGAATTCACAAGGCGGAGTTTGCAGTGAGCTGAGATCTTGCCACTGCACTCCCTCCTGGGCAACAGAGCAAGACTTCGTTTCAAAATAATAATAAAAGAATGGATCTTCTTTTCACATATGGTATTTCATCTTCTGTTAAGCATGTTTTAAAATTTGTCCCATTGTGACCAGGTGCGATGGCTCACACCTATAATCCCAGCACTTTTGGAGACTGAGGCCGGTGGATCACCTGAGGTCTGGAGTTTGAGAGCAGCCTGGATAACATGGTAAAACCCTGTCTTTATTAAAAATACAAAAATTAGCCGGGCATGGTGGTGGGTGCCTGTAATCCCAGCTACTTGGGAGGTTGAGGCAGGAGAATTGCTTGAGCCCAGGAGGTAGAGGTTGCAGTGAGTCAAGATTGTACCATTGCACTCCAGCCTGGGTGACAAGAGTGAAACTCAATCTCAAAAAAAAAAAAAAAAAAAATTCCCATTGTTTAATCATGAGTTCGTTTATTTTTACTCTGCATGTTCATTTTTAAAAAATATTGTTGGCTGGGCGCAGTGGCCCACGCCTATAATCCCAGCACTTTGGGAGGCCAAGGCAGGTGGATCATGAGGTCAAGAGATCAAGACCATCCTGGACAACATGGTGAAACCCCGTCTCTACTAAAAATATAAAAAGTAGCTGGGCATGGTGGCACACGCCTGTAGTCCCAGCTACTTGGGAGGCTGAGGCAGGAGAATTGCCTGAACCCAGGAGGTAGAGGTTTCGGTGAGCCGACATCGAGCCATTGCACTCCAGCCTGGGTAACAAGAGCAAAACTGTCTCAAAAAAAAAAAAAACAAAAATGTATACACATATATATATATTTAAGGGGTACATGTGCAAGTCTGTTACGTGGATATATCGTGCTGTGAGGTATGACTTGCTAGCATTTATTTGAGGATTTTTTACATCGATAGTCATAAAGGCCATTTGTAGCTTTCTTTCTTGTAATGTCTGTCTTTGGTGTTAGCATAATTTTGACCTCATAGAAGGAGTTTTTGGAGTGTCCCCTCTTAAGTTTTGGAAGAGTTTGAGGAGGATTGACAGTAATACTTCTTTAAATATTTGGTGGATTTCAGCAGTGAAACTATTTGGTGTCCTGGGTTTTTGCTGTTTTTTTTTCTCCTATTACTATGTCAATCTCCTACTGCTATAGTTCTGTTCAGATTTTCTATTTTTCATGCCTCACTCTTTTTTTTTTTTTTTAATTTAATTTTATTTTTTTTAAGACGATGTTTTACCATGTTGGTCGAGCTGGTCTTAAACTCCCGACCTTGAACTCCTTGGCCTCCAAAGTGCTTGGATTACAGGCGTGAGCCACCACGCCCGGCCCCTACTCTTGGTATATTGTGTATGCGTAGACATTTGTCCATGTAATCAGCTATCCCATTTGCTGAAGTATTCTAATGGACTTCTGTAATTAAGCCTGAGTTGTACAGTTCTTTGTGCACTGCTGTTACGTAGGTATTCTGCTGCTGTTGTGAGTCTAAGAGGTGAGGTGAGGGGAAGCATTCTATTGACCTGTGATTTAGCCTCACTTAAAAATAATAGGCCAAGCACAGTGGCTCATGCATGTAGTCCCAGCACTTTCAGAGGCTAAGGTGGGCAGATAGCTTTAGCCCAGGAGTTTGAGAGCAGCCTGGGCAACACAGGGAGATCCTATCTCTACAAAAAAAAACAAAAACTAGCTGCGTGTGGTAGTGCCCACACGCAGAATAAGGGATGAGGTGGAAGGATCACTTAAACCTGGGAGATTAAGACTACAGGAGCCACGATTATACCACTGCACTCTAGCCTGGGCAACAGTGAGATCCTGTCTCAAAAGAAAAATATTATGTTAATCTTTATTTATTTATTTATTTGGAGAGAGTCTCACTCTGTCACCCAGGATGGAATGCAGTAACACAATCCTAGCTCACTACAGCCTTGAATTCCTGGGCTCAAGCAATCCTCCTGCCTTAGTTTCCCAAGTAACTAGGACCACAGGTACCTGCCAACATACCTTGCTAATGTTTTAAACAATTTTTTCTAGAGATGGGGTCTCACTATGTTGCCCGATCTGGTCTTGAACTCTTGGCCTGAAGAAGCCTTCTGCCTATGTATGCCTCCCAGAGCCACTGGGATCATAGGTATAAGCCACTGTGCTTGGCCATAACATTTAATTTTTTAATTTTTTTTTTTTTTAGACAGAGTTTCGCTCTTGTTACCCAGGCTGGAGTGCAATGGCGCGATCTCGGCTCACTGCAACCTCCACCTGCTGGGATTACAGGCACGCGCCACCGTGCCCAGCTAATTTTTTGTATTTTTAGTAGAGACGGGGTTTCACCATATTGACCAGGATGGTCTCGATCTCTTGACCTTGTGATCCACCCGCCTCGGCCTCCCAAAGTGCTTGGATTACAGGCTTGAGCCACCGCGCCTGGCTAATTTTTTAAGGTAGAGTCTTGCTCTGTTGCCCAGGCTCACCGTGCCCAGCTAATTTTTTTTTTTTTTTTTTTTTTTTTTTTTGAGATGGAGTTTCGCTCTTGTTGCCCAGGCTGGAGTGCAATGGCACTGTCTTGGCTCACTGCAACCTCTGCCTCCCAGGTTCAAGTGATTCTCTTGCCTCAGCCTCCTGAGTAGCTGGGATTACAGTCATGCGCCACCATACCCAGCTAATTTTGTATTTTTAGTAGAGACAGGGTTTCTCCATGTTGCTCAGGCTGGTCTTTAACTTCCAACCTCAGGTGATTCACCCACCTTGGCCTCCCAAAGTGCTGGCATTACCTGCATGAGCCATCACGCCTGGCCCTAATTTTTGTATTTTTAATAGAGATTGGTTTTTACTGTTTAGGCCAGGCTGATCTCGAACTCCTGACCTCAGGTGTCTGCCCTACTACTATACAATGCCTGCTCTATTACTAACCAAGTTTTCATATAAATACTGATCCATTGAAGACGCTCTTCTTTTCCCTTGATCTATCTGTTTATCTCCTAATAGTATGCTGTCCTGAATGTGATGGTTTGGAAATCGCTGGTGTGTGTTTGTTTGTTTGTTTGAGACAGTTTCACTCTTATTGCCCAGGCTGGAGTGCAACGGCACAATCTCAGCTCACCGCAACCTCCACCTCCTGGGTTCAAGCGGTTCTCTGGCCTCAGCAGCCTGAGTAGCCTGGATTTATAGGCATGTGCCACCATACCCGGCTAATTTTGTAGTAGAGATGGGGTTTCTCCATGTTGGTCATGCTGGTCTCGAACTCCCAACCTCAGGTGATCCGCCTGCCTCTGCCTCCCAACGTACTGGGATGCTGGGATTATAGGCGTTAGCCACCTCCCCTGCTGGAAATCCCTGGTGTTTGTTAGGCAAGCCATCCACCTGCTCTTCAGAAAGCATCAACAATTATTACATGTTAATTCCTATTAGGTTTGGAAAAGTAGTTTTTGTTGACCTAAAATACCTGTTTTGGGGACTTTTTTTTTTTTTTTTTTGACAGAGTCTCGCTCTGTTGCCCAGGCTGGAATACAGTGGTGTGATCTCAGCTCACTATAACGTCTACTTCCTGGGTTCAAATGATTCTTCTGCCACAGCCTCCTGAGTAGCTGGGACTACAGGAATGCGCTATTATGCCTGGCTAATTTTTTGTATTTTCAGTAGAGACGAGGTTTCACTATGTTGGCCAGGCTAGTCTCGAACGCCCGTTCTTTTATTTTTTTTTTTTTGAGACAGAGTTTTGCTCTTGTTACCCAGGCTGGAGTGCAATGGCGCGATCTTGGCTCACTGCAACCTCCGCCTCCTGGGTTCGGGCAATTCTCCTGCCTCAGCCTCCCAAGTAGCTGGGATTACAGGCACGCACCACCATGCCCAGCTAATTTCTTGTATTTTGAGTAGAGACGGGGTTTCACTATGTTGACCAGGATGGTCTCGATCTCTTGACCTCGTGATCCACCCGCCTCGGCCTCCCAAAGTGCTGGGATTGCAGGCTTGAGCCACCGCCCCCAGCCCCGGAACGCCTCTTCCTAAGTGATCCACCCACCTCGGCCTCCCAAAGTGCTGGGATTACAGGTGTGAGTCACCGCACTTGGCTGTATTGGGTATTTATGGAATTTTATAAAGATACCATTTGGAAGAAGTGACATCTTAGAGACATTGAGTTTTTTCTTGAAACACGTGTCATCTTTCCACTTACTCCACTCTGCTTTGGCATTAACTCATAGAAATTTAAAAATTCTTCCATTAGGGTGATTCAGTATTGATGATGAGTCTTACTACTTGATGAAATTTGGTTGAGAGTAAACTGCTTGCAAGCTTCCAGATGTTCTCTCTTGATGTAAATACATGGGATGAGCTCATTGCCCCAGTGGACACGTTGTACAACATATGTGATCTGTTGTCTACCAGGAAAGCTCATTTGAGACTCAGTGGCTGGAGGGCTTTTTGGGGGCTGGTCCCCTAGGCACTGCTTGTAGTAGGGAATAAAATAGGCTTTCAGAAGGAAAATGATTCAGTCAGTACCATCCTGTTTGTCACTGTCAGAAACCATTTAGCCACAGCCAGCCCTCTGTCACTTAGGTTGATGGGATCCCTCTTGTAAGTTCCCTGATGGTAGCGAAGGTCAAACTTGGCAAACAGACCTTTTTAAGGATTCCCAGCCCCAGGACTACTAAAATGAGTGCTGTCTGCACACCAGGTTGTAGGAGTTTGTGGTGACAGGTACTAGAGAGCCACTCTGCAATGAGCATTCAGGGCAACGCAGCAGCACGACTGCCTCCCTGGACCCACCATGGAGAGGGTGTTCCTTTCTGCGGCTGCCTCTCTGAGTAGGTCAGTTCTAACACCGGAACTGCTGTGAGGGAGGAAGCGTGTGTGGTGACTCAGTCTTGAAGCGAGTGTTTGGAGAGCTGGCTTCATAAGACCACTTGTGTATTGAGTAGAGATCCCCAACAGTGCTGAGTCTCATCCCTCCTCCTCCACACTTGTGGGATATTTCAGGACTCAGTGGCCTTTGAGGATGTGGCTGTGAACTTCACCCAGGAGGAGTGGGCTTTGCTGAGTCCTTCCCGGAAGCAGCTCTACAGAGATGTGATGCTGGAAACCTTCAAGAACCTGGCCTCTGTGGGTAAGAAGGACAACATTTCCTTTCTTAGTCAATTAGAAGACAGGTGCGCTTTGATCACCCGCACGGTCCCACAATTTGGAATATGGAAAGAGAGTAGGTTGCTGAATAAATGGGGCATCATGGGCCAGGTACAGTGGCTCACCCCTGTAATCCTAGTGCTTTGGGAAGGATTGCTTGAGTCCAGGAGTTTGAGACCAGCCTAGGCAACATGATGCGACCCTGTCTCTTTTTTTAAAAAAAAGGCCAAGCACGGTGGTTCACGCCTGCAGTCCCAGCCCTTTGGGAGCCCAAGGCGGGTAGATTACAAGGTCAACATGGTGAAACCCTGTCGCTACTAAAAATACAAAAATTAGCTGCGTGTGGTGACATGTGCCCTTAGTCCCAGCTACTCAGGAAACTGAGGTAGCTACTCTGGAGGCTGAGGCAGGAGGATTGCTAGAACTCAGGAGGCAGAGGCTGCAGTGAGCAGAGATCATGTCACTGCACTCCAGCCTGGGTGACAGAGTGAGACTTTGTCACCCCCCCAAAAAAAAAAATCAGGCATGGTGGCAGTGTTTAATAGAACCTAGTTATTTTTCTGTAATTTTAAATAATTCATAATGATTTCTCTGGGTCTACATTTTAGGAATCCGATGGAAGGACCAGGACATGGAGAATCTGTACCAAAATCTGGGGATTGAGCCAAGGTAATTTGCACTCCCAAGAGGAAGCAGTGTCTCTTAAGGGAATCTTCGCTTGTCAGGAAAATTCTAAAAAGAAACAAGACAAATAAGTACAACCTTATGTTTTGTTTTGTTTTTGAGACAGTCTTTTTTTTATTTTATTTTTTTTGAGATGGAGTTTTGCTTTGTTACCCAGGCTGGAGTACAATGGCGCGATCTCTGCTCACTGCAACCTCCGCCTCCTGGGTTCAGGCAATTCTCCTGCCTCAGCCTCCCAAGTAGCTGGGATTACAGGTGCACACCACCATGCCCAGCTAATTTTTGTATTTTTAGTAGAGACGGGGTTTCACCTTGTTGACCAGCATGGTCTCAATCTCTTGACCTCGTGATCCTTTTGTATTTTTTTAGTAGAGACGGGGTTTCACCATGTTGGCCAGGATGGTCTCCATCTCTTGACCTCGTGATCCGCCCACCTCGGCCTCCCAAAGTGCTGGGATTACAGGCGTGAGCCACTGCACCTGGCTCAAACTTAACATTTTTAACTGATTATTAGAAGATTTTCACTAAAAATCCTTCTTTCAATGTAATATAGATGTTGGGTGTCTGGACAGGGTACTAAGAATCTGTGACATGGAAGTCATAGGGAGCTGGGCAGCAGAATCATCAATACACTTCCTTTCAAATAATTCTGACCCAGCAGAAAACCTCCACTCTTCTGATTTTGGCAGCAGCGTAAGGCTTAAGACAACATACCAATTAATAAACCAAGCACTGATAATGCGCTTGTCATTTTTCATAGAAGCCTGGTGGAGAGACTCTGTGGACGTAAAGAAGGGAGTGACCACAGAGAAACCTTCGGCCAGATTCCAGATTGTCACCTGAACAAGGAAAGTCACACTGGAGTGAAACCATGCAAATGCAGCATGTGTGAGAAAGTCTTCCTCCGGCATTCATTCCCTGACAGGCACATGAGAGCTCACGCCGGACAGAAGCGACATGAGTGTGGTGCGGCATGGGGAGAGAAGCCCAGTACACAGAAGCAACGTGGGAAAGCCTCAGTTTCTCCTAGGAGTGGTCCACAGCACGCAGTAACACCAACTCCACAGAGACCTTATGAATGCAGGGTGTGCGGGAAAGCCTTTCATTCTCCCAATTTATTTCAAATCCATCAACAAACTCACACTGGAAAGAGGCGCTATAAATGTAGGGAAATTGTGAGAGCCTTCACTGTTTCCAGTTTCTTTCAAAAACATGGGAAAATGCACACTGGAGAAAAACGCTATGAATGTAAATACTGTGGAAAACCTTTTGATTATCCCAGTTTATTTCAAATTCATGTTAGAACTCACACGGGAGAAAAACCTTACAAATGTAAACAGTGTGGTAAGGGCTTCATTTCTGCCACTTATGTTCATACACATGAAATCAGAACCCACATGCTGGAGAAATCGCACCAGTGTCAGGAGTGCGGGAAGAAACTCAGCTGTTCCAATTCCCTTCGCAGACACGAACAAACGCATCGTGGAGGGAAACTCTACTGTTGTCAAAAATGTGACAAAGTCTTCAGATGTCCCTCGTCCCTTCGAGCACATGAACGAGCTCACACTGGAGAGAGACCTTATGGATGTAATAAATGTGGTAAAACCTTCAATTATGCCAGTTGTTTTCGAAGACATGAGAAAACTCATAGTGGAGAAAAGCCGTATGAATGTAAGAGGTGTGGCAAAGCCTTCGGGTGGCGCAGCTCCCTACGGATACATGAAATGACCCACACTGGAGAAAAGCCCTTTGACTGTAAACAGTGTGGTAAAGGCTTCACTTGTTCAAAATACCTTAGAGTTCATGAAAGAACTCATTTGGCCGGGCATAGGCAGCCCTTAAGCAGGCTAGGCAGGGGAAATCACCTGAGCCCAGGAGTTTCAGACCAGTCTGGGCAACATGAGAAGGAACCATATCTCAAAAAAAAAAAAAAATTTTAACTGGGTGGGGTGGTGCACACCTGTAGTTCCAGCTACTCAGAAAGCTGAGGAAGGAGGATCACATGAGCCTGGGAGGTTGAGGCTGCAGTGAGCTGAGATCGCGCCACCATACTCCAGTCTGGGTGTCAAAGTAAGACTCTGCCTCAAAAAAAAAAAAAAAACTGGGCGCGGTGGTGCGTGCCTGTAGTCCCAGCTATTCAGGAGGCTGAGGTGGGAGGATCGCTTGAGCCCAGGAGTTCTGGGCTGTAGTGCTATGCCGATCGGGTGTCCACACTAAGTTCAGCATCAATATGGTGACCTCCTGGGAGCGGGGGACCACCAGGTTGCCTAAGGAAGGGTGAACCGGCCCAGATCGGAAATGGAGCAGGTCAAAACTCCTGTGCTGATCAGTAGTGGGATCACGCCTGTGAATAGCCACTGCATTCCAGCCTGGGCAACATAGCAAGACCCCATCTCTTAAAAAAAAAAAAAAAGAAGAGAGAGAAATAACTCACTTATACAGGAGAGATCCTATGAATGTAAGGAATATGAGAATGCATTTGGTTTCCAAAGACACAAAAGACTCACTGGAAAAAAATCCAAAGAATGTAGTCAAGTCCTCAGATAACCCCGTCTCTACTCAAAATACAAAAAATTAGCTGGGCGTGGTGGCACGTGCCTGTAATCCCAGCTACTCAGGAGGCTGAGGCAGGAGAATTGCCTGAACCCAGGAGGCGGAGGTGGCGGTGAGCCAAGATCACGCCATTGCACTCCAGCCTGAGTAACGAGCGAAACTCCATCTCAAAAAAAAAAAAAAAAAAAAAAAAAAATTAAATCATGTGAAAACTCCCACTCAGAAGAAGTCCTGTAAATGTAAGTAATTTTGAAGGCCTGATGCAAATTAATTATTGTATAATGCTCAACGACTTATGAATGAGTTATACAAAGTTATAAACATATTCCATTTATCAGTGGCTCATTCTTTTTTCTTTTTTCTTTTTTTTTTTTTTGAGATGGAGTCTTGCTCTGTTGCCCAGGCTGGAGTCTTGACTCATTGCAACCTCCACCTCTTGGATTCAAGCGATTCTCCTGGCTCAGCCTCCTGAGTAGCTGGGATTACAGGCATGGGCCACCATGCCGGGCTAATTTTTTTTGTATTTTTACTCGAGACAGGGTTTCACCATGTTGGTCAGGCTGGTCTCAAACTCCTGACCTGATGATCTGCCCTGCCTACCTCCCAAAGTGCTGGGATTACAGGCATGAGCCACCAGGCCCGGCCTTTTTTTTTTTTTATTTGGGACAGAGTCTTGCTCTATCGCCCAGGCTGGAGTGCAGTGGTGCCACCATGCCTGGCTAATTTTTTTGTATTTTTAGTAGAGAGGGTTTTACTATCTTGGGTCAGGCTACTCTTGAACTCCTGACCTCATGATCCACCTGCCTCAGCCTCCCAACTTGCTGGGATTACAATTTTTTGGTATTTTTGTAGAGATGGGGTTTTATACATTGTTGGCCAGCCTTACCTTGAACTCCTGACCTCACGTAATCCACCCTCCTTGGCCTCCCAAAGCGCTGGGATTACAGGCATGAGAAACCAGGCCCGGGACCATGGAACCTTGCCTGGGAGCTGAATAAATTGGCATTTAATCTTTTTGTGCTGGCCTCAGTTTCCTCATTTTTAACTCGGCAATAAACCTTGCAAAAGAATCAACCTTACACCAACATGGTGAAACTCTGTCTATACTAAAACTGCAAAACTTAGCTGGGCGTGGTTGTGTGTGCCTGTAATCCCAGCTACTCAGGAGGCTCATACAAGAGAATTGATTGAACCTGAGAGGCAGAGGTTACAGTGAGCTGAGATTGTGCCTCTGCACTCTAGCCTGGGCAACAGAGCGAGACCCAGTCTCAAAAAAAAAAAAAAACTCCCAAAAATTAGCCAGGTATAGTGGCATATGACTGTAATCCCAGCTACTTGGGAGGCTGAGGCATGAGAATTTCTTGAACTTGGGATGCAGAGGTTGCAGTGAGCCAAGATTGTACCATTGCACTCCAGCCTGGACAAGAGTGAAACTATCTCAAAAAAAAAAAAAAAGAAAGAAAAATCTTCCACAGACCAGGCATGGTGGTTCACACCTGTATTCCCAGCACTTTGGGAGGCCGAGGCGGGTGGGTCATGATGTCAGGAGTTCGAGACCAGCCTGGCCAACATGGTGAAACCCTGTCTCCACTAAAAATCCAAAAATTAGCCAGGTATGGTGGCAGGCACCTGTAATTCCAGCTACTTGAGAGGCTGAGTCAGGAGAATTGCTTGAACCTGGGAGGCAGAGTGTGCAGTGAGCCGAGATTGTGCCATTGCACTCCAGCCTGGGGGACAAGAGCAAGACTCCGTCTAAAAATAAGTAAACGATTCACATTTTCCTATGGGAACAAGAAGGAATATCCCATCTTTATGCTACAGAGTCTTCTCCCCACATCCCTGTCTATTCTCTGTGCTCCCAAGTGCAATTCCTCTGTGGGCCTGCCTAGCCACAGTACACTCCTCTTGCCTGTGGGTGAGTGTAACTACTAAAACGCTGTCAGTCTTAGTTGACCAGTGATGGTGACCGGAGTTAGCTAGCTTGCCTCAGGTAGACAGCAAGGGAGAGGTCCCCTGAGAGCCCCCAACCCACAGGTCAGTACGTCATCCCCAAATAATAAAAAGCAGCCTGGGAAAAAAATCAAGCTGCAGGCACCCATAAGGAATTAGCACAGGGGATTGATTGTACCTGGAGACTTGCCCGCGGCGGCACAGATAGAAGTTCTTGCCCGTTCTGATAAAAACTTGCACAAACATCTGGCTCACTCAGATAAGAGAACATGGCCTGACATAGAAACGGCTTTCACCAGGCTCCCAGGAGAGTTTCTTTTGTGGGCATGAGCACGGTGAGCTCTGGTGGGTACTTTGCTTTCCTTTTTGACTGTGAGCCTGGCCTTTATGAATCATCACTTCAGCCTCTGATTGCTTCTGGGCTAAGGTCCTCAGCCAAGCTTTCATTTCAGCTCCTGATAGGTCCTGGGCCAAGCTGAGCAGCCTCTGTGAATCATTACTTTAGCCCCTGATTGGTCCTGGGCCAACGTCCCAGGATAGGGTCCCCGGATAAACTTTCTGATTGGTCCCGGGCCAACCTGAGTCACAAGTTCTCCAAGACAGCCTGCAAACTAAGCATATTTCTTCCCCTTCCCAATCCATAAAAACCCTGGACCCCAGCCTTGTAGTGGGCAACCCATTCAGGCTTCCCTCTGGTGGCAGAGAGCTTTCTTCATTCACTTATTAAACTTTTACTCCGACCTCACCCTGTATTTGTGCGAGACTCTCTTAAAAAATAAAAAGGCGGGGGGGGGGGGGGGGCGGACGCGGTGGCTCACGCCTGTAATCCCAGCACTTTGGGAGGCCGAGGCGGGTGGATCACGAGGTCAAGAGATCGAGACCATCCTAGTCAACAAGGTGAAACCCCGTCTCCACTAAAAATACAAAAATTAGCTGGGCATGGTGGTGTGCGCCTGTAGTCCCAGCTACTCGGGAGGCTGAGGCAGGAGAATTGCCTGAACCCAGAAGGTGGAGGTTGCGGTGAGGCGGGATCACGCCGTTGCACTCCAGTCTGGGTAACAACAGTGAAACTCCGTCTCAAAAAAAGAAAAAAAGACTACAAAGCAGGAAGTCAACTGACATCTAATTAATCCCTGTAGGGCGGATCACGAGGTCAGGAGTTCAAGACCAGCCTGCCCAATATGGTGAAACCGTACCTCTACTAAAAATACATAAAGGCTGGGCTCAGTGGCTCACGCCAAAACTTCGGGAGGCCAAGGTGGGCAGATCACAAGGTCAGGAGTTTGAGACCAGCCTGGTCAACATAGTGAAACCCTATCTCTACTAAAAATACAAAAAGTAGCAGGGTGTGGTGGCAAGCACCTGTGGTCTCAGCTACTCGGAAGGTTGAAGCAAGATAATCGCTTAAACCTGGGAGGCGAAGGTTGCAGTGAGCCGAGATTGCGCCACTGCACTCCAGCCTGGGTGACAGAGCAGGACTTCATCTTAAAAGAAAAAAATTAGCCAGGCGTGATGGTGCCGCCTGTAGTCCCAGCTACTCAGGAGGCTGAGGCAGGAGAATCACTTGAACCCAGGAGGCAGAGTTTGCAGTGGGCCAAGATTGCACCACTGCACTCCAGTCTGGGTGACGAGAATTCGTCTCAAAGAAAAAAAGGGAACAAAGGATATATAAAACAATGAGAAAACAATTAAAATTGGAATAGTAAGTCTTAGCAACAATTTTTATTTATTTGTTTGTTTGTTTATTTATTTTTGAGACAGGGTCTCTCTCTATTGCCCAGTGCTGGGATTACAGATGTGAGCCACCATACCTGGCCAACCATCACTTTAAATGTATATAGATTAAATCTCCAATCAAAATATATGGAGTGGCTGAATAGATTTTTAAAACACAGCCGGGCATGGTGGCTCACACCTGTAATCCCAGCACTTTGAGAGGCTGAGGTGGGCAGATCACGAGGTCAGGAGTTCCAGGCCAGCCTGACCAACATGGTGAACTGTGTCTCTAATACAAGTACAAAAATTAGCTGGGCGTGGTGGTGTGCTCCTGTAGTCCCAGCTACTCAGGAGGCTGAGGCAGAAGAATTGCTTGAACCCGGGAGGCAGAGGTTGCAGTGAGCCAAGATTGAGCCACTGAACTCTAGCCTGGGCAACAGAGCGAGACTCCATCCCCCCAAAAAAAAAAGATTTTTAAAACCTATTTAAAAAAATACTGAATTTGAGACTGAACATAATCGGGAGAGAAACTTAAAAGAAAAAAAAAATGGGCCGGGCGCGGTGGCTCACGCCTGTAATCCCAGCACTTTGGGAGGCCAAGGCAGGTGGATCACGAGGTCAAGAGATGGAGACCATCCTGGTCAACATGGTGAAACCCCGTCTCTACTCAAAATACAAAAAATTAGCTGGGCATGGTGGCGCGTGCCTGTAATCCCAGCTACTCGGGAGGCTGAGGCAGGAGAATTGCCTGAACCCAGGAGGCGGAGGTGGCGGTGAGCCGAGATCACGCCATTGCCCTTCAGCCTGGGTAACAAGAGCGAAATTCCGGCTCAAAAAAAAAAAAATACTGAATTATAAGCTGCCTACAAGAGACTCCATTATTATTATTATTTTGAGGTAGAGTCTTGCTCTGTCACCCAGGTTGGAGCGCAGTGGCACAATCTCGGCTCCCTGCAACCTCTGCCTCCCAGGTTTAAGTGATTCTCCTGCCTCAGGCTCCTGAGTAGTTAGGATTACAGGTGCGCACCACCAGTGCTCCATCCAGCTAATTTTTTGTATTTTTAGTAGAAGCGGTGTTTCACCATGTTGGCCAGGCTGCTCTCAAACCCCTGACCTCATGATCCACCTGCCTCAGCCTCCCAGGTGCTGATAATACATGTGTGAGCCACCATGATCGGCCGAGACTCTCTTCATTTT